AGCAGGAATCTGCGAGGCTTTCCAAGGTCTGCAAACCCCTGTGGTCATGCTGTCTTCACACAGGCCCTCTTGTACCCATCCCCACAGACCACGTTTATCAGATTGTTTAGTAGCTGGCTGGAAGCAACCAGTTTCCTGGAGGTCCTGAGGACGAGTGCCTTCCCCTTGCTGCCAGTCAAGAGGAATTCTCCTGCTGAGGAGCAGGTAAAACCCGGCCCCACCACCAGGACCTTGTTTGCTGGCATGCGGAAACCCCACGGCCCCTCAGCCACCACCACAGATGCACATCTGATTCTCTTCCCCCTTCTGCACATCCTTCTCCAGCCCAGAAAGACACTGCTGGGGATGAAGCACTTCCAAACGCACGGCCTTTCTTGCAGCACCTTCTCCATCCGCCTGCCCCAGCCCTTTCCCTCCACATTCTGCTTTCACGCTCTTTCCACCTGCAGGCTACAAGGCAGAAGCTGCAGTTACTTGTTAGAAACTGCCAAAATCCCTTGGCAGGGCAGCAGCGGGTGTCACAAGCATTCAGCGGTGACATGTCAGATACAACCACACAGGCAGCAGTTTCATCCACCTACCAGCCCTGCAGTGAAGGCGTTTGTCAGCACTTTGAAAATGGCACAAGCCAACCACGGAGACGCAGAAATTGGGATGGCAGAGACGGGGAAAAGAGATTTGCAAAGGGCTGATGCTTTTTAAGCACAGCGGGACAGAGATTTCCAGCCAGCCTCGGCCAGATATCTCACCACACCCCATAGACTGTGCTTCCCAAGGGGGAGAGCCCAGAGCCGGACTGCACAGCGCTGCACAGCCACCAGTGATGCTCAGCAGCGCAGAGGGGGACTTGAAAAACAAGAATACTCATGATTTGCCACCGGGTTAGTCCGTATCACAGTGTATGAACTCAGTCTTGCAACTCTGGTATCAGGGAACACCGCTCCTTCTGCAGCCAGCCATATTCCAGTGTTACACTACTGCCAGACACCTCAACGAGGAGGGACCTGGAACGTGCGGTGGGAGCTCCAAGTCCCTGGCTGATGGAAGAGGAAGAGCCAACTCAAATCCTAGGCAATTCCTCACACAGAAGAGCCTTCGGTTCAGCTCCTCTGTCAGGTCTTGCTGGGGCTGCCAAGTCAAAATCCAGGATCTTGAGGCCAAATCTCCTTTTGGTTTTGTTCTGCAGAATTTCCTATTTGCATCAAGGTGAGTCCCGGCTCCAAAACCACACTTGTGGATGGCAGCATCGCTGCTCATCCCACAGCCCCACCATCAAACCCACCCTGGAGCACAGGCTCCGCTCTGCCAACACTCGAACTCCACCAAGGGCTTCTCACACAGTATTTCACCTGTGTCAAAAACCCAGTCATCAACCAACAGGTACCACGGGGACTTGGGAATTTGCGCAGCCTCAGCTTATCAGAGAATCACGGAATCATGTGGGTGGGAAGGGACCTTTAAAGGCCATCTAGTCCAACCCCCATGCCCTGGGCAGGGCCACCTCCCACCAGCCCAGGTTGCTCCAAGCCCCATCCAACCTGGCCTTCAACACCTCCAGGGATGGGGCAGCCACAGCTTCTCGGGGCAACCTGCCCCAGGGGATCACCACCCACACAGGAGAGAAGTTCTTCCTCAGATCTCATCTCAATCTCCCCTCTGTCAGTGTCAAACCATTCCCCCTCGTCCCACGGCTCCTCTCCCTGATCCAGAGTCCCTCCCCAGCTCTCCCGGAGCCCCTTCAGGCACTGGAAGGGGCTCTGAGCTCTCCCCTTTTTGGCCTTCTCTTCTCCAGGCTGACCCCCCCCAACTCTCCCAGCCTGTCCTCCCAGCAGAGGGGCTCCAGCCCTCCCAGCATCTCCGGGGCCTCCTCTGGCCCCGCTCCACCAGGTCCATGTCTCTCCTGTGCTGAGGCCCCCGAGCTGGAGGCGGCACTGCAGGGGGGTCTCCCCAGAGCAGAGCAGAGCGCAGCAGAGGGGCACAATCCCCCCTCGCCCTGCTGGCCACGCTGCTGGGCTGCCGGCGCACGTTGACAGCTCATCATGTCACTCTGTCCTTTACGGAGTGACACCGTTACCACCAAACCTTAGCCAACACCTCTACCAGGTTTGCTTCAAGCCTTGAGGGCCTAAGCTGTATCCAGCAGTGCTCTCCTGGTGTTTCTTCCCCTGCAGAGCAGCCCTGCCCCACTCTGGGCAGGATGACAATTCCCTCACTGACATTTTCCAGCCCAGGGAGAAAGCTGCCCTACTCATATCGTAAGGTCTACAAGGAGAGAAGAGAAACTCGATTTACATCATCACCCCAAAATTGTTTTTATTATCTAAGCTAGTATCTATCAGGAAAACCACAAAGTAGTATGTAACACACGCGTATTTTATTACATTTTTACCTGAAGCACTTCACGGTTCTTATACAGGATCATGCTGCTTAGTTACAAAGTGATTTCATTAGCACGAAAACGGCATGGACGAGCTGAATTAATTTAGTCGCCTAAAGGCAGAGAAACCTCTAGGATACACCACAGGGCCCGCAGGAGCGCTGGGGAGCACGTTTTACCCCCACTTTTGCTATGATTCACGACCCGGCAACGCCCACGCACAGACACACCGGGACCTGAGGGCCGCGGGGACAGGGCCCTGCCCCTCCCTAACCGCGGGGAGCCAGGGCCGGGCGAAGGGAAGGGCCGGGAGGCCGTTAACCGCTCCGGCAGAGGCCCTG